GTTCCAGGGAAGCCAGGGGTAACAAAGTGGCTACACCTCATCACCGACACAGACAAGGCCTTCTACGACTGGACCCAGACACTTGGAGCCTTCTCCCAGTACCGGCAAGATTTTGCGGCCAGCCTTATGGCTTTCAATGACGATGCTGTTCGTGTTTATTGGGACCGGGAGATGGAAAAGCGGTTCGGTGCGGTGCGTTTCAAGGAGGCCGAACAAATCGAATTTGCCGATGTTGAACGTGTGTGCCGAAACCTGCACATTCATGCGTCGACCGACTCACTGCGGAAAATCTTCAACACTATCAAGGGCAAGCCCCTGTCGTACTCCCAGAGCAGCAACCCTGGCCTCAACTTTGATGAATTTCTTGAATTTGTACGAATGATGAAGGCGCGAGAAGACATCCGCCGCGTATATCAAGAACACACCGCGAGTCAGGAGAGTGGTATGACCAAGCCCGAGTTCTTGCAGTTCTTGCGACTAGTGCAGTGTGAGAATGTCGACGAGGACTTGGCAACTTGGGAGGCCACATTCGCTCGCTTTGCGCGCAGGGGCAAAGCGAAGGATGCCGAGTCTCAGGGTGATGCAGGTCTTATCATGTCAGAGGCCGCGTTTGCCAGTTATCTTTCATCTTCTTCCAATGCCGTCATTCCCAAAGCACCACAAAAGTACGACCTGAACAGACCAATCAACGAGTACTACATTTCCAGCTCCCACAACACCTACTTGCTCGGTCGTCAAGTAGCAGGCACCTCTAGCGTAGAGGGCTACATCTCTGCACTGATGGGAGGTTGCCGATGTGTCGAGGTCGATTGCTGGGATGGTGCTGATGATCAGCCCGTCGTCTCGCATGGTCATACGATGACCACGCGCATCTCCTTTCTCGAGGTCATCAAGACCATCAACAAGTACGCCTTTGTCAAGTCTCGGTTTCCTCTCTGGATCTCCCTGGAGGTGCGGTGCAGCCAAGCGACGCAGGTCAACATGGCCAAGATCATGATCGAGATCTTTGGTGACAAGCTGGTGCAAAAGCCTCTCGAGTCCTTCACTGATCGCCTCCCAACCCCGTCAGATTTACTGGAGCGTATCCTCATCAAGGTCAAGAAGCCGCAACAGCCCGACCCCGTCGAGCGGGTTGGTCGTAGACGCGGCAACAGCATGCCTTCGCCTTTCCAACGCCCACTGCCAGACAACGGACCGGTCCCATCCAGTCCCCTCCTGAGTCCCACAGCGATGGCCCGCACCAACCGCATCAACACCATTACCGAGGGCAAGGTTCACGACACGCCCAGCAGCAGCCCCAGCGAGTGCGACAGCGAGAGCGAAAAGGATTCGGCAAGAAAGGTGGTCAACAGTAAGATCAGCCCGGTGCTCGGCGCGCTCGGAGTTTACTGTGTCGGTATCCAATTCGACGGCTTCGACACTCAAGAGGCCAAGTCGTTCAACCACATCTTCTCGTTCAAAGAGAAGACGTTTGCGGAGAAGAACCAACCTGGCCCATCGAAGCAGGCGCTCTACCGCCATAATATGCGGCACTTGATGCGGGTTTATCCTAATGGTGGGCGCATCACATCCAGCAACTTCGACCCACTGATCTACTGGAAGCGCGGAGTGCAGATGGCAGCGCTCAACTGGCAGACATTTGACCTCGGCATGCAGCTAAACCAGGCCATGTTTGCTGGCGGAACAGACCAGTCAGGTTATGTTCTGAAGCCATTAGAGGGGCGTCAGATCCAGCTCATGCCCAACTTGACCGCTGATGAATGCGTGGGCAAACGGCCGCGCAAGAGGGTTTCCTTTGATATTGATGTTATTTCAGCCCAGCAGTTGATGAGGCCGCTCAATCTCGGAGAGAAACGGACGTTGGATCCCTACGTCGAGGTTGAAGTCTTCCTTGCCGACGACAAGAGAAACAAGAACAATGCCGTCTCCAACGTTACCGTCGAAGAGTCGAAGCGCACCTACCGCTCCAAGTTTGTTCGCGACAATGGCTTCAATCCCGAGTTCAACATGTCGTGCTCGTTCGACCTCACCACCAAATACCCGGACTTGATCTTTGTGAGGTTCAAGGTCAAGCAGGCCGAATCCAAGGGTTACAATGACAAATCCCCTCCTCTGGCAACCTACACTGCCAAGCTTTCCAACCTCAAGCAAGGCTACCGCACAATCCCACTCCTGAACAAGGAAGGCGAACAATTCCTGTTCTCCACTCTCTTCGTCAAGATCCGCAAGGGTCCCGTGGAGGTGTTCATGGCTGATTATCAGGAAGAGGTACCCAAGAACGGGAACAGACTCAAGAATATTGGCAGGAACGTCTTCAACCAATCCAACACGAGCCCCAAGTCAAGCATGGACAGCGGCCGTTCCTGAGAGCCTTGCACACCCCCTACAGCAACAAAAAAAAAGCTGGACTTTCCACTTCCCCCTTGTATCAATAACAGATTTGAACGGGTTTTCCTTCTGGCACAGCCATCTGAGCCGCTGTTTTCATCATTTTTCCACACATTTCTGTTTTCTGTTCAGGTTGAATCTATTATGAAATACCCGGTGGCTCATATCATGTATCATGGATAAACAGTGTTGGGGTTGGAGAGGTAGCTGTCTTGACAGCATTGTGTTTTATTTTTCTTCAACTTCTTTTTTCATGTGTGCTCTTCCCCCTGGAGGAGGAATGGTCTAACATGTGAGCACTTTTGGGTCAAGGGAGGGATCATCAATTCACAGGAGCAGGGGTTTGCACGGGACTGGGGGGAGGGAAATATTTGCATGTATGTTTTGTGTATAAACAATACCCGTTTGACACAAACAAAATATTTGATGAATGTCCTGGAGACGCATGGGTTACAAAATGGGACTGGGGGTTTTATTCAGATTTATTGTTTTTCTCTTTTTCTTTTGTTTTTTTCTTTTGATACCAAGCATGATACCAAAGCATATTTTGGAAGATAGGGAAATTGGGAAAGGGAAGGAGGAGGCATATGTGACAAACATGATTTTGAACTTTGGCGGCGCAAAAACCTTTTGAGGAACGGGGGTTGGTTTGGGTGGGTGGGTGGCTAGCTTAGGTGGTGTTTGTGGTTTTTTTTTTACATTACATAGAGGAAATTCAAAGAGAAGATGAAAGCCAAGAGATGAACAAACATATTTGGACGGAGGTTTTTTTTTTTTTTTTTTTTTTTGGTGATAGTGGTTGCTATTTTGCTTTGCGGGATTTCGTCTGGGAGTGTAACCTTGAGTGGGCTTGGGTTGTTATAAGGGTGTTGTGTGCTACGCAGCTGGAACAGAAGAGGTAGCAGGGGTTTTTGGATTCATGATTATGACCGAGGGGAAGGGATATGGCATGGTTTCCATAAGGGCAAGGGGGTGTGTGTAATCTCTGGGAATTGTGAAATCATTTTCCTTCTAGCTGCTAGTCAGCGCACGAACTTCATTCATTCTTTTTTTTTTCTCCCTGTTTCTTACAAGTTCTCATCAGCATTCTCAAAAGATTCATAGGGACATACATTTTGAGGAAGGTCATAATTATCAGGGCATGGATGGGACAAACAAACCATGAAAAGAAGGGTTTACAAACATTGGGGTTGACCATTTGTGTGTATGTGTGTTGTGGGAGAGAGGCAAACTTGATATTTCATGGGTTCATACTACATTGGGGTACTACATCACAAGGATTAGGGAAGGAGGCTGTTTGTTTGGGGGAAGTCAGCTGCATAGCATAAGCATCATTATATACTCGGTGAGCGGCTCACGCTGCTGCTGTTACTCTACGATACCTACACCCATTCTAATCCGCTGTGAACATGCACCCCCCGACCCAACACACCTTTTATTCAATATGCTCGTAGATGTTTTCTGTGATATTGTGGTAGGAGGAAATCCTCCGGGGGCGGGGGGGTGGGGAGGGCAAGCCATGATGAAACTGAGATGCCTTCAGGTAACTTGGAAATATACCTCTCTACCTTACCTCTGGGATCCACAAAACTCAACTACTACACTCGACTCTCTGCCAAAACCCATTTGTAGCATTTGCCCCCCAGAATAATCTCAGTAGGTGCCTGGCCCATTGTCGCGAGTCAATGACAATTGGAAGGTATGCGGTGATGATCAACTTCCATTGTCATCGACTCTCACACAGCCCGCCGTATCCCACCCTATCTAACTAGGGTACCCAACATTTGCGGTATACACCACGAGCCAAACCACACAAAAAGCCATGTTCAGTCATCAACTGTAGTACTCATATAGCAGCCGCGAAAAATAAGGGAGCACGACATCAAAGCTACAACTCCCTACCAAAGTCATTGACATCACCACTCTACATTCTCACTCCCTGATACCTACAGCCGCGAAGAATCCGGACCTGACCCCGGCACGCCGGAAAATCACGGGTAAAGTAACATCCCTGACAGGGACAGGCAGCAAGGTGTGATCAGCTTTGACCGGGT